TGTAGGTGACAATAAGAACCTAAACCTAACATTAGCCTATAACCTAAATATTTAAGGAGTAAACTTTTCTAATGTACAAAGTTAGGCATCAAAGACAACATTTGTGTTTGTTTTCCACATATGTGTGAAAGACATCAACTTGTTGACCGGTAGGTCTGCCACATCTAATATGGCGGTCGCCCTGACGTACCGCTGCAGCTATGTATCCTGGTGTGACGTCACGCGCTGGTTACAGAACATGCTGGTGTAACACCGGAAGTTCTTCCGTGTCGGAAAACTAACAGCTGCCGCCACGAGAAACCAGTGACAGTAACTTTGTGTTCGGATTGACGCCGTTTCATCTCTTCATATCTGACAGATGGCTCCGACTCACGTCCACCGTCAGTTCTGTTCGGGACCAGGTAAACACTTCATTTTTTTCATGGCTGCCCGTTTACTTCACTCCAGCGATCAGCTGCTGCACGTGCCACCTGTAAATGAAATGCAGATGTTTGACCGTGTCTGTTGAAGGAATAAACAACACGATACATAAATAAACAACACGATACATAAATAAACAACACGATACATAAAAGAGAAGAAGACAGTAGAAGTGGATTTAATGAGAGACTGTGATTCAATCAGTACAGACACGTCACTCACCTGCCATTAATTCCCTTTAAAAAAAAGTTTTCTGAGGTAGTGCAATATGCACTGATCATAATTAGTAAAAATACCCAAAGTTGCATTTGCTATCTAGTTGTTTACTTCCATTTTGAATTTAGATAGTGTCATATAACAACACAGATTAAAACTTGGGGAAATGTAACATGAACCCCTCATACAGTGAAAAAAAAATCATAAAATATTTTTAAAAAGATGATGACAGTAAGTTTAAAACAAACTGAATGTAAAACTCGTTTTTAATTTTTTAGTAATTAAAAGTTTTATTTATTGATATTCAGAATATATGATTTTTTTTTTACAAAACATAACATAGAAAATGAAGATGAAGAGCAAACAGGCTGGTGCCCCCCCCCCCCACATCTCTGTAATTAGTTGGGATGATTCAAGAATCAAGAAAACCAATAAAAAATAAAAAAAATCAGACAAAGCAGCATCATTTTAGTTCACACAGATGTCTTTACGTCTTTTTAGTGAGTCCTAAAACCCTGCAGCCTTCAGGTTACTGAGCGTGACCTCATAATGCGTCCTCCATCGATTTAATCCAGTCACTGAACTCGGGGCGCTCTGTCATCTTCCAATGTTTTAAGATGATCCTGGATGGTGTCACCAGACCAACCATAGTAACTGAAAGGACTCCTTTGGAGATGTTCAGCATTTGACATCTGTCTCTCAGTAAACACAGTTCTGGGGTCCGAGGGACTTCTGAGCTAGTTTTTTACATCTTTGGTACAATTTACTGATGACGACTTAAACATAAGCAAAAGAGGAAGTTGTTGATTTAACTCCTGGAAGTCCCTTTAACTTTATGACAGTTCAAAATAAGATTGGACATGACACACAATTGGCTGATTGATGGATGAGCTGCACAATCGGCATGGAATTTTTATTTTAAATAAATTATTTAAAGTTATTTAGCACCTGCTGCACCTGTATGCAGCCCACAGCTGCAGGAGAAGCTTCCTCCTTCAGTGTGCCGTATCTCCGCTCTGCAGCGGAGAAGTGGGCGTAGCTGAGAGCGCTACTTACGGTGCTTCCCCTAGATAACTTGCCATGGTGGGGCGCTTATCTCGTTTGTGATTTTATTTATTTTTAATTTTTTAATTTTTGGTGGGGGGACATGGACAAAGACAAGTCCTGAGCTGCGCAGCACTGTTTATACAGACAGTTTTAGGGAGGGTGGGGGGGAGACAGATACACAGCAGTTTTGGATCAGGGCGAGGGTGGGGGCAGAGAGGAGAGGGACAGAGACACATCTGAGCTGTGCGCTGTTTGTACCAACAGTTTTAGAGTCGGGGGTTGGGGGGTCAGCATGAGGGTTCATGAGGGAAGAGGCTGCCTTTAGCTTTTTAGCTAGTGCACCTGTATTGTGAGCTGCTAGCTTAGCATTATGTCAGGGGCAACTAGGGGTGGGGGTTGCTCACGGTTTGGTAGATGGGGCGGGGCGCCCTGTTTGTATAATGGTAGGGGAAATACTATTTACTACTTGTACTACTATTCCTACTTTGCGGTTTTTCACTTATCACGGGGCTTCAGGGTACGGATCCGCCGTGATAAATGAGGGACTACTGTAATCAAATAATCCAGCAAATGTATAATTTAGAATGAATTAAGCAACAGAACCTAAGCATTTAAGTGTGAATGCAACACTTTTCAGCAGTGGAAACTGGTGAAAACAAAGATGGTTGATTTACCCTTAACAGCTATGAAGTCACCAGAAAGAGCAGTTCAT